TAAGCAGAGCTACAAGGATATTGCGGCTGAAAACGATTTAGGTGGCATAGTAAAAGGTGGCAAAGAGGTCAATTTAGTTGGAGAAGACGGCACCAAAGCAGTGCTCCAATGGTTGGGAAATTCGAACCAGGAATGGCTGCTTCTGTTCGACAGCTGTGACAGCGGCACAACTCTAGACGCACTCCTTCCTAGTGGCGACCGCGGGAACGTCTTATACACCAGCAGAAATCGTGCTCTGGGCCACACCCTCCCTCGGAACGCTGTTACGGAAATTTCTGAAATGGAAAGCAAGGATGCTATCACACTACTTTTTAAAGCCGCACATTTGGAGGAAAGAGAAATAGACGATGACTCGCAGCAAAAGGCAAGACGCATTGTAGAAGAACTTGGTTTTCTCCCTCTTGCAATTGACATTGCTGGAGCGTCTATCCATATGGGCCGATTCCACCTCGAGGATTACGTTGAGACCTTTCACAAACACCGGGAAACAATGATGAAAGACTGCACATTCAGTGGGGCGTCAAAATACAACCAGGGTGTATATACGGCATGGGATATCTCGTACAACGCGTTGAAGGATTTTGCCAAAGGACAACAAAATGCGACAAAATGCCAAGATGCAAAAGCCGCACTGCAACTCCTCCACCTGTTTGCGTTTGTGCACAATGAAAGCATTATGGAAGAGATATTCAAGCGGGCGGCGGAAAGTCAACGCCTAAGTAACACTGCGAAGGTGCGGGAAAGTTTCGATTGCTCTGCGAAACTGTCAGAGCTACTGCAAGTTGATGCAGACGGCACTTGGGACTCGTTCCTGTTTAGGGGCGGGCTCTCAATGCTGATATCTTTTTCGCTGGTTAAAAAAGATAAAAGCGGCCGATACTTTTCTATGCATGTCCTAGTCCATTCATGGGCTCGGGATCACATGCCTAGTGCTATGCAGCGGCACCAGGCATGCAATGTGACAGCGCTCTTGTCGTCGTCGATCAGCTGGAGGTTTCTGGCCGAAGACTATGCGTTTCGACGGCAGCTGCTCCCCCATATAAGAGCATGTAAGAAGCATCGCACTGCAGAGAAGACAATCGAGCCTGAAGATGATGAGGACGCTAGCAACTTTTCGTTAGTATTCTACGAAGGAGGGTATTGGCGAGAGGCAGAAGAGACGTTGGTGAAAGTGATGAATACTAGAAGGAGGGTGCTTGGGGAGGAGCATCCTTCTACGCTGACCAGCATGGCCAACCTGGCGTCGACGT